ATTTTGAGAAGTGCCCACACACTCAGCATTTCTAACTGTGCAACAAAGCTCCTTATCCCCACGTTCATCCAAGGCTTTTTAGTCTTTAACTGCAGCAGACTGGGAGAGAATGTGGTGGCCAGGACTGGAGATCATTTGTAGGATGCAGTGAAGCAGCCTGGCAGGAGGACATCAAGAATCCTGTACCCACAAATGCAGCTGTGGTTCTCAAAGTGCAATTTTGCAAGAGGACAGGGGAACAGCAACTGCACAGTATTTATTTGAGATGCCTCCAACTAGCAAGTTTTATCTTATAAGCGAGAGCTGCTTGGCCTGGAGTGCATGACCTCACATTGTTATCACTGAATTACATTATTTTCTGTTATCCAAGCTCAAGGTCATCCTTTTGCTCAGTACTATGCCAGTCCTTCTATATTTGTTCCATCAGCAATCCTCTGGAGTACTTCACTAGGTATTCAAGGTCAGACTGCTCTTTGATACTTCCTCTTTCTAAACTACAAGTTATTGCCCCTTCCTCTGCTAACATTAAAATCTTTTTAATATTTGCAGGAGAGCTCGGTTGCCTCACACCTCAAGAGAGCCATGTGCTTTCCTCAGAGCACCCGCTGTGACCGGACAACCCTTCTGCCATTCCGTGTGGGGTCAGCGCGTGTTCTGGTCGGATTTTAGCCACAGCATTTCCTAACCCGCAGAGGAGCAGACCACAGAATCATTGTTACTTCCTTTCATTCCGGAGCAAAGTACAATGAGCACCTTAAATCAAAGACACTCAAATCCGGCCAGAGGATCTTTGTTGCTCATAGCCGCAGACAGCCCCAATTATCTTCAAACTGCAATTATAATGAGCCAGGCCTGCTCTCCTGAACGGGCGATTTCATACCTTTAGGGTGCCTTGAACAAAAGCGAAAGGCCGTTTCAAAACGCACCATCAGCCTCCCATTCTGCCACCGTCAGGCTGCCACAAAAGTGCGGTCAGGCCACCGCAGCCGCGCTCGGGGTGCGACACCGAACCGCGGGCATCCTGGCACGCCTGGTGCCCGAGGGCTCCGGGGCCGCCTCCGAGCCTTCCCCGCCCAGGCCGCCGCTACACCGCTCGGGGACAGGGGAACCCGCCCCCTGCATGTCCCCGAGCCAGCGCTCGGGTCTGGGCTTTTTTTAAGGCTTAGGAGCGAGATGCCGCCTCTCTTGCCGGGGGAAGGGGCCGCTCGGCTCCCGCAGGCGCCCTGCGCGCTCCCCCCGCCGGCCCGCCCGCGGCTCCTCCCCGCGCAGCGCTGATAAAGGCCCGAGCGCTGCAAGGACTTATCTGCCCGCTCTCCCCGCCAAAAAAAAGCCCAAAGCAACACCAGGGAAAACTGAACACGGCGGTGCAGGCGGCAGCCGCAGCAGCGCGATCCCTCGGGAGCGGGACGCGGGAAGAAAGGGCTCGCCCTACGCGCCTCGCTCAAGGGCGCATCTGCGCAGAGGGGGAGGGGAAAGAGAACAAAAAACCCACCCAGAACAGTAACAAAAAAATCACATAAAAATAAAATGAAATTAAAAAACCCAAAACAAACAAAGCCCAAACTACTGCGCAAAGCCCCCGGCGGCCCCGCACACTCACTCGGAGCGCAGACCCGGTCCCGTATCTGCGCAGAGGGGGAGGGGAAAGAGAACAAAAAACCCACCCAGAACAGTAACAAAAAAATCACATAAAAATAAAATGAAATTAAAAAACCCAAAACAAACAAAGCCCAAACTACTGCGCAAAGCCCCCGGCACCCCCGCGGCTCCGCACACTCACTCGGAGCGCAGACCCGGTCCCGTAGGAGAGCAGCGGCTCGGCTCGGCTCGGCCCGCACTGCCGCAGCCCCGCCGCGCCGCCCCCTTTATAGCGGCGCGGATCTCGCGAGCGGACGCGGCGGGAGGGGAGGGCGGCAGCGCCTGCAAGGGCAGCATGACTTGGCAGATCCGGGGCCGTCGGGGTGCGAGTGAGCGCGCATCGTTCCCTGGAGAGAGTCCCGGGAAGTGCCGTGCAAATATCCAATGCCGCGGTTATAAACGATTGATGGGCTTGCTGCAAGGAGCGATGGCATTTTTAGTGCCTTAATTGACCTAGTTATGATTATTTGAAGTCCTCAGAGGGTACGCAGGACTTTGAGAGAGAGTAAGGGATGACTGGCATGTCATTCATGTGAATTAAGTGTTGGCCATTGACAGATGTAAAACGAAACCTCTCACGAACAGAGCAATGTGTGTTGGCAGTGTTACAGAGGTGCGGTGTGACATCTCCATCCTCTCTCTCTGCACTACCCACTGCCCCCTCTCCCTGATACTCCTTCCCAAGGCTTCCATTGATTCTTCTCCATCAATGGGAACACCGATCCCAGTCAGCAAAAGAAAGAAGAAAACTAAGTTTAAAGTCCAGCCGTTGAGCTTCAGTGGTAGGATGGAAACCCTTGGAAAGTACGGTTACTTCAGGGAGTTGCATCATTCAGTAGTGAAGCTGCTCTGAGGGCATTCAGTAGTGAAGCTGCTCTGAGGGACGTTTAACCTCAGTGATTCTGCCATAAGCACTGTCTTTGAATCCAAGAGTGAAGAAGCAGTGTGGTACTTTTTAAGGGCCAAATTCTGAATTTACATGTGAAAGCTTTATTAAATAATGAATACTAAAAGCCATTAAGCCATATCAAGGACAAAAATGTTTGCCTCTGTCAAAAGTGATAAATGTGCTCACTAACTGATTTTTACTCATCTGGTTTGCAGTTTACAGTTGTGCTTCTTATACCTGTTAAAACTTGATTATAAATTGTAATGAGTAGAAAGCCACAAAGGATTAACAAACTTTATAATGAAGATCACTGTGTAGTGTTGCTGGGGGACCATACCCATGCGGTGGTTCATCCAGAGATGACTCATTTTGGGACCAGATGAAATTAATCCTTAAATAATGAAAGCAAATAACATGCATATATGGACTCAGGAAAAAATCTGCACTCACTTTCATGCAAGTGATTTATCTATTTCTGTTGCTATAGCATGCTTAATCTTTTACAGGAAGAAGTTTGCTGTCTTAACATCAGCATTCTCATGAGAATTGAGGTCTGTATATTGAGACATGTATGTACCTCCCCATCACCTCAGGCCAATCAACCTGTGAACAGATTAACCCCTGAAAGGTCAGGCAGTCATAATCAAAACCTCCAGAACAATGTAGTCCCACTGCAGCTCCAGCATGATTACCAATGGACAAAGCAGTAATGACTTTCTCATGGTTTCTGACTCCTTTAATGCTTGTTGTGCTCATTTTTCTTACTTTCAGATGCACAATATGCCCACTATGGTCTGCAGGTTGTTCCAGGTTTGTGCCGTAAGCATTCCTTTCCATTCATATGTCTGTGGCCTCATTACTTTTGATTAATTTCTGAGCTTGTCTTTCCAGATGTCAGTTTCTGGAGGTATTGGAATAATAAATTGTCAGGGCCACTCCTTGTTCAGTGTGCACCTGGGTTTCTGTAGCCTTTCTCAACCTTTAGATGTAGGATGCTGCTTAGATTAAAACAATTATGTTTTCCAGGGAAGAGAGGGCATGTCTACCCCCACAGGTGCTGGAAGGATGGAGCTCTTTCCCCACAGCAGCGTAACTGTGTGTTGTGTTCTGCTAAAATAGCTGCCAGACAGGATCAGCTTGTACCTGATTAGCATGGAGCATCAGAGCCCAGTGCAGGCCTCTGAGCACCCATCCACTCAGACAGGGACACAATAAGAACTTCATCTATCAACAAAGAGGAGCTGGCAGGCCCTGCAGTGCCAGAGCAGTGAAACTACCCAAACTGGGAGCCAAACTAGCTTTCACATCCATCATTTTGATCACACTATCTCCCATGTATCTTGGTTGGGAATGGGCCCCTGATGTGAAAAACAAATGCCCTGCTGTGTGTAAAAAGAAAGACAAAAAAACTGGACCTGTTTCAGAACATTACCACACATTTGGGTTTCCATGCATTTGAGAATGGTTTTGTGTAAGAGTACCAAAGGTTTCCAGAATAAGATAAACTTAGCTGGAATAGTAATGGATTTGGCAACACTGGGCATGTCCCTGGAGCACACAGCAGAGGTAGTCCCTGCATGCCCTCAAAAACCAGCACGTTGGGACACCCCCACACATTCCCTGTGGAGCTCATCACTGCGTGTGCCAAAATCCCACTGAATCCTAAATATACCAAACCTCCTACTTACACATGGTACTACCAGAGGCACAGTCAGAGTCGAGTCCTGGCCATGTGGGGATAATTTAATTTAATATGTGCAGAAAGTCAGCTGACAAGTCAGCAACTGACAAGTTCCATGGGGCATTTATGCACAAGCAGCTGGTGCACAATTATTTTAATGAAAACAACTGCATGTCATTAAATATACAATGCACATATTAGCTTTCCTTGTTTGAATCAAGTTTTTTACCTATTTCAAGGTCAAAATTACCTCTTCTCTGCATATTTTTTTTCAATTAGCACGCCATTACTGTATGTTTAGATAACCACGCCTTTTGATGACAAAATGTTTAGTCTTCCTGACCTTTTCTCTGTTCTTCTTCTATTATATTAGTGGAGGCTGAGGTTTGTTAAAGTTTTCATATGCGAGATTTACATAATTCAACTATCTTCTTTTGCTTGAAGATTGTGGATTTTCAAATGGATGTGGTTGCCAAGGTCCTTATGAAAATAAATCAAACTAAGCAGTGATTCCTTCCCTTTTATTCTTTCATTTCCTGCTTCCTGTTATTTATAACTGTTGTCTTATCCTTGCACTTTTCTTATACTTTCCTTTATTTTGTCTAAAGAGGCTGTGCAATAGAAAAATCTGGTCACATGCATGCCCAAGAGATTAATTGACCTTTGTGCCTTTAAGCCTCCTGAGCAGTTCAAGTCAGAACAGCAAAGACAGAATCTGCAGCAGATTTATCTTTCTGGAAATAAGTAACAGGCTCTTCAAAGCCCCACCAGAGGTATCAATTGCCTTATTTCTGATCTAATCTTACTCTAAGTTCTGAATGTTTATAAATTGTTTCTAAAGATGGAATCCTGGAGTAAAAGTCAAAACGGATTATCTGGTTTTAGTTGTGTTTCAGATGGGGTGCACAGTTGGTTCTCGATTACAGGCCAAAGTCTGCTCCAGCGGAAGGCTTTGCCTCAGCAGTAGCGGGGCTGTCCCTGCCCAGCAGGGAAAGCAGCTGAACCAGCCTTAATCTCACTGCAGTCCCGAGCAAACAAGGAAATGCATTCCTGGCCATCTGCAAGGAGAGCAGTCCCAGCCTTCTCGGAAAGTGCAACTTCTCTGTAGACCTTAAAGCCCAAAAGCTGAAGCAGAACGAGTGCAATCGGTCTTTCACTTTCCCTGGATTCCTGTTATTTAGGCCTGCAAATAAAACTGGGGATATTTGGTCTTGCTACAAGTAGAAACGGCTTCAAAACAACGTGATAAACAGCAGTCGGGGAGATGCAGACGCTTCTTGTTGAATTTATGGGCCGGGGTCGTCTTTTGTCGCTTCCCCCCGTGTGGTGCAGGCCATCGCATTTATCACTGCGGGATAAATTTATCGGTGGGAGCATGGAGGCTGGGCTGCCTGAGCTTCCCGACGGGAACCGGGCCGGGGGGGCACGGACGATCAGCGGGACAAACCCGATGAGAAACAGGAGTGGGTCGGTGCCGGGGGCCGGATCAGTCACGGGGAGCGGGTCGGTGCCGGGGAGCCCCAGCAGGGGCAGAGCCGTGAGGGCAGCTCAGCCCCACTGTTGGACTTTCACATTTGAACCCGTGCGGGCACCCGCGCTGCCCCAGCCCGCGGCCCGCTCCCGGCGGAAGCGGAAGGGCCAGGCGGCAGCAGCGGGAGCAGCCGGAGCCCAGGCTGAATAGCGGCGGTAACAGCGGTCGGTAGCGGCGGTGAGTGCGGGAATGCTGCGGGGGCTGCGGGGACACCTTATCAGCCCTGCACCGCCCCCCGCGCCGGGCGGGCCCGCCCTGCGCCGCCCCGATAAGGGGCAGGGGGGCAGACTTGGCCCTTCGGGGAGAGCCAAAATGGGGAGGGTTATTCCTGAAGCTGCTCGGTGACAACGACTTTAAGTATTGCTAATTTGTACCTATTTGCATATCTATACATATTAATGGCATGCATAGCTATGGTTGCTATACTGCTGGAAGACTCGTTGCTTTAGGTTAAAAATGAGCTGTAGCTGTGGGTTGATGAACCGGGGTAGTTTGCATTACTGTGGTTGTTGATACATCATCCTAGCCTTATGCTGTCCTTGAATTACTCTGAGCTTTAATCCCTTTATGTGAATGTAGCAGTAGGTTGGTGATGCTAAGCCATAACCATATTTTACTTGTCCAGAATTAGTTTGCTTTTATGTTTGTTTTTATCTCTGCCCTTCTAAGAAGAAGCTTTCAGCTTTTTAATGAACTGAATAGCATCATAAGGGTGATTCTCCTACATGCCCTATTTTAGGGAAGAATCTGAGTGGAAAGTATTAATTAACATATTTTTTTCCAGTGTCTGCTATTCTGATGTGTTCCATTCTTCCAGAGGCTACAGTTCAAATCTCTCTGCAGTGTTAATGTCCAATGCTACATGAAGCAACATGGTTCTTAAAAATGTGCTGATGCTAGTTATCGATTAAACGTGTACCTTGTCTTCTGGGCTGAACTCTTACCTTTAAGATGATTGCATAACATGGTTGTGTAAAGTATACAGTTGGTATCTTATTTGCATTGCAGGCCAAAGTGAATCAAAAAGCCTTACATTTTTAGTTGTGTTGCTTGATGCAAGAAGAGGTCTTTATTTAGGCAACTAAATTCAGGTAAACAGTACCCACTTGCATGTAGCTGGCTACAAAATGGCTGTGCAAGCTCAGAGTAGAAGAAAACACTGTTGGAACCATCACCCTCTCTTTTCTGACCTCCTACCCCAATAAAACAGATGTACACCTGCAGTTTGGTTAACCAGTGATTGTCTTTAGCACCAATTGCTGGACTTAGCTCAGTGCAAATCCAGGGCTATTAGTTCAGTGTAATGATTGTCTTGCACCGGGAGGTGCTGGCCCATTACAATCCTGACAAAAAAGGCACTCAGACTCTGAGGTATCATCTCAAATGATGTTTTTTAGGGCTAACCCTTTAAAGAAAGAGCAAAGTGTTGATGATTGTGCATCCCTTCAGGTGCTGGGAGCCCCAGCTTGTGCAGCATTGAGCAGATCTCACACAGCACAGTGTGCAGACCCTGCCTATAGCAGGGGTTACCCTGTTTTGGTCATTTGAACTGCTGGGGATTCTTTTACAAGAAAAGACCTTTATTCATCACTTCTGCTGTCAGACAGAAAGGATGCTTGCAGAAGAACTTCCTGCATATTTAGACAAAGGCCAGGACGAATAGGTAGCATAATTGCAGGTACAAAGAGTGAGCTACCTGCAGACTCCTGTTACAGGTTGCTGCTGAGCTTATCCTGCAGCTTGTGCATCCCACAGCACCAGGCTAGGCATGAAGTGCAGCACAAGATGAGCTTGGACCTACTCAGGTTAACTGTTACAGGGATCCCCAGCTCCTTGGTGTACAATGGCCTTCAGGTCTCACTCCAACTGCTCTTGTATGTCTCTCTGAGAAACAAGTGTGCTATCTGGTGTCTGCTATTAAATCTGCAAAAGTATGGCTTGAGAAGCTAAGCAAGAAATTGAAAACATAAACTCTGTGTCAACATATCCATCAGCTGGGACCTAATTATGTGAGGAAAATGACAATACTGAGAAGGCAGACCTATTTTGGGATAGTATGGTATGTGGATGCTGAACTCTGAAAACATCCATTCCTCCTACATAGTCAGATGTAACTAACATTGCATTCTTCCTCTCTTGGTTATTTTTGTTGCTTTTTGTTTTTAAACAAATAATATTCAAGATTTTGGATGCAACAGAGCATGGGAAGTAACTGAAATCAGCTAGCCAACTTTGGAGCTTATCCTGAATGCAGTTTCCTTTTTAACAGTTTGAGCAGGAACATAGATTGTGAGGATGTTGGGACAAGTTGTAAACCCTTCCTTCATTGATGAAAAAACTGCCATTGTGAGCAGAAAAGGTTGCAACTTAAAGAATTGCTGCAACTTAAAGAATTGCTGCAAAACTCTTTGTTCTTTTTATTCTTTAGGCAAAAATGCCTGCAACGTGCGACTTCGTTACACTCCACACAGGGCAGAAGATGCCTCTCGTAGGACTGGGAACTTGGAAAAGTGACCGGGGCCAAGTAAGCAAGGAACAATAGGATATTGTGCTCTCAACTAGTGTGTGTGTTTGTGCACTTTTTTGGAAGGTCCCAGATCTGAAGCCTGGATCTTTTCTTTGCTTGAGCTGTTTTAGTCTTGAGTCCATTGAAGTTGAATGCATGTATGTGTGTATTTTCCTGACTAAGGCCTAAGGCGTAAAGACAGCAGTTCTTTCCAAAAAGCAAGATCCCTTCAGACTTGTTAGCCCTGGCCTTGGGCAGTGGAGCTCTGGGACATAAACCCAGAAGATCAGTGAATGGTGTTTCTATAACATGGTGCTGCATTCTTCCACTGGCAAGTCCTCAGGCTGCCAGTCTGACCAGACACCCCTCTGGCTTAGGCTGATGACTCGGCAGAAAGCATTATTTTGGAAGGCAGAAGCTCAAGTTGTTCTTGTAATAAGTCCTGTTCCAGCAGCCAGCCAATGGTTAGCAGGAAAACAAAGAACTTGCTTGGGTCAGCCTGCTTTCAGAATAAGAAGACTCATGTATCAGTAGACATTCACTCTGCTTCTGAATGCAGGGAATTGGCAAACATCACACTTGGAAACAATTTTGTTGTTACTACAAACAGTCTGTGGGAATGTTTGTGTGCTCCATGGTGTGCCTGCTATTGTAATGCTTCTCCCCTTTGTCTGTCTTTTAGTATCTCTTTCATTTAGTTAAAAAATACAATTTTTTTGGGGAAGAAATTGTATGTACTTCCTGTGAAAGGTAATGTCCACTGCTTGGTGGAATTCCTAAATGGCATTCAAAGAATTGTGGAATCACAGTATGGTTTGGGTTGGAAGAGACTTTAAAGGCCATTTAGTTCCAATTCCTTGCTGTGGACAGGGAGACCCTTCCACTAGACCAGGCTGCTCAGAGGTCAATCCACCCTGGCCTCGAACATTTCCAGGGATGGGGCATCCACAGCTTCTATGGGTTATGCACATCACTGTGCAGTAAATGGATGTCTCACTGCTACTCCTGGGTGAGCTTTATGATGTTGTTGGGAGTATCTTGGATGACATTGTTCTCATGACTGAGAGGGAAAGTTAAAACTTTTCTCAGGACATGCAATTCTCTCATGCCAGCTAGAGGAAAAGGTGGGAAACAAGCTAAGAAAATTAAATCTATTCAGAGCCATTTTACTGTGGGTTTTCCTGTCCAAACAACTGTCAGGACAGTGGATCTGTTGGGAATAGAAGTTGTGCTAATGTGGAAGCTGAGTTGGTGTGAGAGCTCAGTCAACCTCTTAAATGAGGAAAAGGGTGAATGTGCAGCTTTGCCACTTAAAACATCAAATGACAGCTGAATTACGTTTGTTAACATGCACAAACTTAATGGATGAATTTCTGTCCACTCAAAACAGTTAAATATGCTTTGCCTAAAGCAAATGTCTGAAACTAAACAAACAAAATGTGAATGTGTTGTTTATTCTGTGAACTAATTGTTCTGAGAAATGTGTGGCCTTAGCAAGGAACGAGGACAGATCCTGTTAGTGCATAATTTAAACCTAATTCAGTTGGATTTTGCCATAATCAGCAGTGCTGCTGGCAGCTGAACCACACACAGGATCCACTTATCTTCTCTGGATTTCCTTGGAAGTCATTGGGAGTCACTTCTTTGGAATATCTGCTATCTTCAAAGACTTCCTTGTAGAATGTACTGAAGGCAAAATCTAGGAAGTGCAGTGAAAAGGGCCAGAGTTACAGAAGTTGCTGCTATTCCTATGGAATAAATGAGTTTCTGCTTACCACTTTTGAAAATTCAGGGGTATAGCAGCAATTTGGCAGTGTCCAGATGATTTACCCTCAAAAAGACATGATGTAGTTCAGATATAATAACTGCTATTATGAATTAAAGACTAGGGGCCAAAAACCCAGAGAAGCAGAAGAATTAGCATTGATTAAATTTGGTTTAGCTGTTTCTCAAGTACAGGCTATTTATCAGCAGCTCTTTTGCTCAAGGGCTACATTAGAAGCAAGTGTGAAATGAATGGCTTTTAAATGATTTCAGGTAAATATTTTGCAGATTGTAATTCTTTCCCTTGCCAGGCTTGAGTAATTTCTTTATTACTGCAGTTACTGTTCCTGACTGTAAACAGCCTTGACCTTGTAGACAGATCTTAGAAGTCTAGTACAAAGGTGTCATTGCAGTCCCAGTTTCCTAGATATTAGTAGGGGGAAAATAATTGAATCTAATTCCATGTTGAAAGGATTTTATAGGATTGGCACCATATAAAATAATAGGATGTTTTGTGTTTAACATGATCAAATGCTAGAAGAGAAATTTGTTTTGCATGTTTCCATAGGAATATGATGGAGGGCTGTTGAATGGAAGGGAGCACAGTACAGAAGTTTATTAACTGGCATCATGAATCAGTTCAAAGAGAAATCCATTCAGACAGGAGTATCAAGAATATCAGTACAGTGGCTTTTTGATATTGCAGCTGGATTAGCTGTAATCCTTTAATGCTTTGTTCTCTTCTCTCAAGTGAGCCATGCTTTCAACCTGGAGGATTGATCCCCACCTGATGAGCAGCCTAACCTGAGTGGCAGAGGCTGGTTCTGTGGGACAGGGGACACAGGACGTGTGTTTCTGTGTGAAACCTTGGAAAAGCTGAGAAGAAGTGCACCTCAGAAAACCAGTCAGACAGGGTGTCTTGTGACAGGATTGCAGCTTCGGGGGAGAATGGTTAGTTCTTGAAGTTTGTTAGGCAATACAGAGAATCCTGGTTACGGGCACAAAAAAACCCCCACTCTTGTTAAGGAAGGGATTTATATTCAGCATTTGAAGGATAAGAGGCAAACCCCTTTATTTTAGAGAACACCACCTTTTAAATTGACATTATTTATCTCATGGTGTGAGTTCCTTTTCAGCCAATTTTAGTGCAATATATAGAAACTGAGATATAGCAACACTTGGGTTCTGGTCACAGTGCATCTGAACATCACGTGCACTGATTATTTGGTTTTTCCCTACTTCCTCTCAGCCAAAGAACTGCTAAAATGTGTCAGCTTTACAGGAAGCAGGGGTGGCTGGTCAGAGCCTTTTCTTTCCCTGTAGTATCGAGCTCTGAAGAGTGGAAATCTCTTCATAATGGCTTGGGGCTGAGCACAAGAGGCTCCTGGGTCACTTGAACCGTGTGTTGCCTGGAAGTATAAAGATGGCTTGTTAATTTTTTAACCTTGTGAGAGGCAAATTGAAGAATTGGAAATCTGGTAATGAATATTACAATTAATGGGGACTTACAGATTGTTTCTGAATCTGCCACTGATATTGTGTTCATCCATCTTCAAAAGAGGGTGGCAAGGCCAAGTCCCTTACTGGGATGTTTAAATGGGATGTAGTTCCTTGGACTTTGCTATAAAGTGAAGGAGAATGAGGATCCAACTGCAAAAGCTGTGTGTTTTGGGGCCAGTCATTTGAAGAAAGGCATGAAACAGCTGATGAGACAGCAGCAACAGTGATGCAAGGTTTGGGAAGGGTGAGTTGTGATGAAAGGGAGAAGCACCTGCAGTTATGTGGTCAAGAGAGATGTGAGAGGAACTGTGCACTTTGCAAATGTGGGAAAAGCCCTCACAAAGGGCAAGTTGTGAATTTCATCTCTGGGAAGAATGGGATGTGGCATCAGGGCCATCTTTGTGAGTCATCTAAAAGACTTTGAGCAGAAAGATTTCAAAGCATTGGAATAGACTGCCTGTCACAAGAAGGGCTATGACAGATGTGTGTAGGAGTGGTCTGGATTTACTCTGCCCAGCTTGAGGATAGACTGGACTGGAAGATGTCTAAAGGTCCATTCAGATGTACTTTTAGTAAGACCTAACTTTTTAGTTCTGTGGGGATGGATTGGTGAGTCACACATGAGCTGTGTGACTCAATTTGCCTAATGCAAAGTAAACTCACTAATTGCTCCTTTCATAGCAGTATTGACAGGCTAAACTGAAGAATATATGGAAAGTTTGAAGGATCCTTTGGCTATTTTTACTTCACAACAGCAAATACCAGCAGGCATATGAATCTTCAACTGCCTCTGTGGTGTTTTTGTTCTCTATCCCCTACCATGAAATGGATATACCTCTCTGAAGTTAATCTCAAAAATACAGAACTTCTTGTTAAAAAAGTACTTTTTATAAAACGTACATCTGTATTTATTATTTTGCCCTCCAAAAATGCCTTTTTTTTTTTTTTTGCATGTTTCCTCTCGATTGTTTGCCTTTTGCGTGGAACAGGAGCTCTCAGTTCACACTGAAATGTTTTAGTAGGCTGGAATAGCTTACCCAAATACAGATTATTTTTGTCAGCTCCAAACCTTATTTAAATTATCAGTCCCAGTTCTTCAGTGCCATAAATTTCTCAAAACATGCTGACATAAAAATACAGCCTCTTGTTGATCTCTTTGCAGAGACATGTTTGGAGTGCTTTATCTCTGTTTTTCTGTGAGTGGTGCCTACTTTCATTTATGGTAAACTTTGTGCCTGTTTGATTAAAAAGAGTATTAATCTGATACAGAAATAGGGGGTTCCAGACACAGAACATTGCTGGTTTTCTGTCCCTCTCCACAAATCTCATCTTTTTGGAGGATAGATACTGAGTCTTAAAAGCCCTTACTATGTCTCAAGTGATTTCAGAATTACTCTGCCCTTGATTTTGTGGTGACCTGAGAAATGTCTTTGTCAGGTGAAACAGGGACTGTTCCTGCTAGAGAAAGGAAGGGTTCACTGCTGTTATAGAAGTGCTTTGTCATCCTGGCTAAGGGAAACTGCTACACTCCAGTTTTCCTCTCAAAATGCCAAGGAATGTAGTCAGAATATCCCGTGTCTGCTTTTACTGCACTTCTTGACAAGAAAAACAAATCAAATCCACCAGCAGGAGAGAGATCTCACATTTGATTCTCCATTGCCTTTTTGTAGCATCTGAAAGCAGGACTGTAAATGCCTTTGCTTGGTATTACTAATTTTGTCAGCTTTAAATTTGAAAATGCTGGTACTTTAAGTTTTTAATTTATATGAAAAGTAACAACATTTTCAAATTTACAGTTACTTTGACTGAGTTGTTGATCAAAGTAGCCCTCTAGCCTTTGTGGACATATTTTTTAATCTCATGACAAGAGGGGTGTGATCTCACTTAACATTTATGGCCTTATTGCATCAGGCCTTATACCCAGAGTAATTTACAGTCTCCCACAGTCTTGAGAGAGAAGTTAGTGAGGTGCAGTGTATAGAAATCCCTGTACAGATGTGGTGCATTATTCTTTCTGTAGTACTTCAGAAGGACAGATGTAAGAGAATGTGTGCTAACTGTCCACTGGAAGTTTAATGAAATAGATTTTACTAAATGGTCATCAGCCTAATGGGAGATAATGATTACACTGGTAACTGTAGCAATTCTTCATTCTTGCGCAATCATTTATAGAAAGTCTTTTGAAAAAAGTTCCTTAGGAGTCCTCACAAAGATGCCATTCTGTGTTTCCTTGTGGTTTCTAGACTTGCTTCATATCTGAGGCCCACATGTGAAGACCACATTTGGTGCTTGTGCTGCATTAGAGCTTTCAAAAGCAGATACAGGTTTGAAGTAAAGTGCCTTGGTTTCCAAAAACCATTCTGGCTTTTGTGTGACAATGTGAGGCAAGAGTTGTGTTGCTGTTGGCAACACCTTCATTGTCAGCAATGTTGAAAGCAGAATGTAAAGTTGTGAGCATCATCAGGAGTATCAGCATGACTTTTGCTGTTGTGTAATTATGAGACAAGAAAGAAAAGTGTTCCATAAAAGAGCATTGTCTTAGTAATTAAGTGTGAGTGGTTGAACCAAACCCAGACTGTGGTGATTCTAGAGTTAGAAGCCAGGCTCTTTCTTTACTGGGCAAGAGGAAATATATTCCAGGTTTGACTGATGTTGATTTGTCACTTTGGGCAGAAAATGTCTTCCTAAGCCATGACTTATTTGAGAACTGCTTCTTATAGGTTATTTTATATTTAAGAAAAGTGTAACAACTGTGGTAAAAAGTAGGGATTTGTTCTACTTGGTGCATTCTTGAATGCTGGCCCTGTGTGCACGATCCATTTTCTTGTTCCTCTTGGAATGTCTGCCAGCAGTTTGTGGCACAGTCCTTAACTGGGAAGAGCAGAGACTCCAGATCCTCGTGTTTGAATCTCATGACCTCATACAGGTCTGTGGTTTTTTGGGGGGTGTTCCTCACCAAGTCAAGTAGCGTTTTTTAACTTTTCCCCAGAGGCACATCCCTTTCCAGTGTGTTTGTGGTTGCAGGTGAAGGAGGCAGTGAAACACGCCCTCAGCGTGGGCTATCGCCACATCGACTGCGCAGCCGCCTACAGCAACGAAGCCGAGATCGGGGAGGCCTTCCAGGAGTGCGTGGGGCCCAGCAAGGTAAAGGCACAGGAACTGTGCTCGCTGGGTGCTGTGCCAGCCCTCACAGCTGTCCCCAGGGAGGTTAACAGCTGTGCCTTTTCCTGCTGCTCTACCCCAGCTGTTGGCTGTTTATCAGAAGGCATGAAGGAGGCCTTTCTCTGCTCTTAGAACCCTCCTGGCTGTCATGGGGACGAAACATTGTCAGGGATATTTGGATGGAAGCTACAGAAAATGCCTGTGGTGGTGGTGGTTTTTTCCTTTTCCTGCTCCTTTTCCCCTAACAAAGTATCCCAGTTTGGATACTTTGGGGTTCTCAGAATCAGTAGTTATAATGTAAAATATTTGTCATGATTTATATGAAAAGTTATCCTGACCTTCCACTCTAGCATGCAATGGGAATAGCCACAGCAAATTTAGTTTTTTGGTTATTGATAAAATATCAACTGTAGGTTTTTGGTTATAGAAAAAGTATAAATGAGTAAATGTGAAATTTTAATTTTTTTTTTTTAAACAGTTCACGTGAAAGGCTCATAAACGTGACTCCAGAGTCTGCACCTGAGAGTTTGAGGCTTAAGTATAATGTGATGTGGCAGGCATTCCTATGTATGAGCTGAGGTGGAATCTTAAATTTATTCCCTGAAGGGGCCAAAAGGATAATCTGTACAGCTCACAGCCCATGGAAAGGAAGTTTTCATGTTCTTGCTTTCCTGCTGCACTTGCCTTGGCTTCAGGGCAACCTCTTTGTCATTTGTTTGAGAGAGGCTGTTTTCAGCTTGCCCCAAGGATTCCTCCCTACTAGGTGTGGTAACAATGGGAAGCATTTTGTTCAGTTCATATTAGCTAGCTAATTTAGAACTAGAATTTGAATAAAAAAAATTTTTTTTAAAGAATTTTTAAATATCTTCCTTTTAAACACAACATCCTTGTGTGAAACACAGAAATAATTGAATGGTTGGAAGAGAGAAACTAAGGAGTTAATCATTCCAAATTCTCCAAAACAGATTTGAGTGAAGTTTGTCAGACATGAGACAGTGAGAAGCATGCTTTCTGATGGAATTCTCTGCTTTGTTTTGCCCAGTTTTGATCTCCCTTTTGTATTTTATACTTTCTAGATAACCAGTTCTTAGTGTGTTCCTTCCACAGCCTAGAAGCTCCAATGCAGAGGTTTGGGGAATCTCCTGATTATTTTCCCACGCTTTTTTTACAAGAAGCAATCTTGGTTTATAGCATGTGATGAGTAAAGTCAGTTAGCTGGTTGAGCCTGGAATATGTGAATTGTTAAATGGAAATTTGAAAATTTGCATATGAATAAGCTGAGTAATCTTTCTTTTGGCCACATCACACTTAGTAATGGCTTTAACCCTTGAATTGGAAAGTTTGGAAGAGTATGTGGAAAGGAATTTTGTTATTTTTCAAAACTTCTAATTGCTAAAGTATTTGATATACTTTAAAACTTGCACTGTGTGTATTTCTCTGGCTCTTCTCCATGCAATATGTTTTTGAAAGGTTTAATTTGTAGGTTCCATATAAAAATAATAAAAAAAACATAATAAACCACAAAACTTCATTTGTTCTCTTTGTTTTAAAACTAATTGGGGAATTGTTGCAATTCTCTTTCTGAACTTGCTCCAGTATATTATGCTCTCCTTCCTTTCTTGAAGGTTATTAAAAGGGAGGACCTGTTTGTAACATCAAAGCTCTGGAATACCAAGCACCACCCTGAAGATGTAGAGCCAGCACTGAGGAAAACACTTGGAGATATGAAACTGGATTACCTGGACCTGTACCTCATGCACTGGCCTCATGCCTTTGAGTAAGTTCTAGATGCAAAGGGCACAGAATGCAGAAACACCAGTTTTACATAAGTGGCTCGTTATATCCTGAGGATGTTCTTTCTGAGCTGTGAGTTTCTTCCTGTTTATGCTGCCTGCAAGGTGTTTTTTGGTATTTAAAGTTGAAAACAGTTTAGTGTCTTCATCTAGGCACTGGGGAAGTGTAGCAGTTATTCTTGGTTCTGCCATTGGCCTACCTGGTAACCTTGAAAAAATATTAGAACTGCTTTTGCCTTAGTTGTACTGATCTGTGCAATGGGAATTAAGTGCTTCATAAAGACAACACTTTTCACTTGTGGCTATTAACTGTACTGGAGTGGACAAACACATGCAGTATCATGGTGGTATCTGTATGAGGTGGGAGGGAATTGACTTCTTATGACACAAATTGCAGTAATTCCATGATTTGAGGAAGTAAGAGACAAGAAAGCTTTCCAGCTAAGTGTTAAATGCACTTATCCTACAATCCCATGAGAAGCACAGTTCCATACTCTATTTCCTTGTAGATGTGGAAGTGGTTGTTTCCCTACCCAACTACAAGCAACAAAAAGGCAGGAGGAATAAATCTCCTTGCCAAAGGTTTGCATGGAGTCTTCACTCAAGCCCTTTCAGTTTAAGGGGCCTCTGCTCTGCAAATCTGAGAATGTTTTTTCTCCTTCTTGTCATATGAACTGAATTTTACAAATGTTATACACTAATGATAAGATGAAATATGCTCAAAGTATAAATATATTCCTCAGCATAACAGAATGAGGAAGTGTTTTTAACTAGAACTGGTCTGGAGGAAGAGCTGATAAAAATTCCCTCTGTTGTGCAACAGGTTTGCTTTTCATTTGCTTGAAAAAAACCAACCCATCAAACATGGCTTTGATAATAACACATAAGAAAAATAATAATGTATGCTTAGATGTTTAGATAGTACTAATATTTAAATTTATATTATCTTGTGACACTGTTGACAAAACTGACTGTCTAATAAAGCAGTTTAATTTCTTTTCTCATTGGGAATGGCATACTCTGCAGTTTTCCATTATTTCTACGTAACTGTTTTAATGCATGGTTATTTATAATGTCTGTTGCATTAGGAGGCTAAGCCAGGGAATGTTATTTACAGAAAAATTGAAACAGACTTCCAGATGAAAATCACAGTGCCTTTAGGTCTTGAAAATTACTCTCACTTAATACAGTACTCTTGACATATGAAGCTGCTCTTCTGACTTGGGAGCTCATAAGGCTTTCAGAGTGATTTTTGGTTCTAGATTTACCAGTGACATGAAGAACCATCTCCCCTTGTCTCCAAGTACTGCCATTTCTCACACCATTCACTGCTTAGCTAGAGCACTTTAAGAGTCTCATTGCTGAGCTAGCAGAGTCCTGTGGTGATTATGGAGCAGGGCTCTTCCAGGGGGATTGCTGGTACCTTCCCAGCATGGACTGCACACAGACCAGCCACAGGTTCTCACCCCTGTAGGGGTGTCACCTGGCACAGCTGGGTACTTTGTGTCTGTTTGGGTGGGCTTTTTTGGTTTTGAGGGGTTTTTTGTTTGTTTGTGGGGGTTTTTTATTTTTTAAATTTTTTTTATGTGTTGGTATGACTAATTGGAAGAAAACACAACCAACCTGTAAAGAACATGTACATGTTAAGACTTCTGGGAGAATCTGTGCTTGTATTGAGTAGTGACACAGCTACGTTTTTTTATTTTTAATTTTTTTTTATGTGTTGGTATGACTAATTGGAAGAAAACACAACCAACCTGTAAAGAACATGTACATGTTAAGACTTCTGGGAGAATCTGTGCTTGTATTGAGTAGTGACACAGCTACAGAATCCAGAGGGAGTGGGAAGGCCAGTATTCTTTGAATACAGTTTCTCCTAGATAGCTCTTAAACCCAGATCCCTTTGGTAGCAACTCCAAGCTGCCCTGTGACTTGCTGCTCCATAAATCAGCTGTTTTATGGGGATCAAAGTGTGCAAAGAGCTGCTGCTGTGTGTACAGTGGTTTATCAGTTCTGTGCAGTCACTGCTGTATAGGTGGGTACTTCAAAGTGCCATGTAACAACTTTATGTAGGAACAAGTGTCTTGTGTAATACCTGCTTATAGGCTAAGTCACGTAATGGAATTGAACAGATTCATTCAATTCATTCAGTTTGTACTCTGTCCTTCAGACTATGTAGAAACTTTTAAGGCTACTGTGAGGAAGGTTTCTTTGAGTGAAGAACTAAAATAATTTGGTGCATGTACTTACACTTCACCTTTGATGCTGTAGGCGAGGGGACAATCTCTTCCCAAAGAATCCTGACAACACGATGCGTTATGACTACATTGATTACAAGGAAACCTGGAAGGCCATGGAGAAACTGGTGGAGAAAGGTCTTGTGAAGGCCATTGGGCTGTCAAACTTCAACAGCCGTCAGATCGATGATGTGCTAAGTGTGGCTACTGTGAAGCCAGCTGTGCTCCAGGTAAGGTGGATAAAGGAGACAAATACCTTTCCTGTTTGTCCACAAGAGTGAAGAATTTGCAAACCAATGTCATGTGTTAAGCACAAGAGGTGCAGCTTCTTATTTGCAGGGAAGAATATAGCCAGCTCTGCAGGAGCAGGCACACAGAGGCTGTCTTCCCAGGCAGATTGGAAAGGAGGCCTACATCCATATTCTGTGGGCATTTATACTTGCTTAGAACATGTCTGTGGAAGAGTTAATCTCCCATGTGAGGAACAATTTAGTCTGTAAAAAGGAAAGATTGTGAGGGAGTAACTTGAATCCCTACTGCATAGAAATTCTTTGCTTGTTGGATGATCTGTTTAGTACCAAGGGAAAATCCAGCACCAAGCTGAGGTGATCTGTTCTTTGTTTCCCATAAGCTTAGCCTACCAGACACTTCTTTCTCCTGGTAGTGACTTGAGTTACTAAGGTTAACTTAAACCTTATCCTCATAAGGTTTTCTGGAATCTGGAATGAACTCCTGTGATATGTTTGGTTCTTTTGTGCTTGACTTCCTGTTTGTTTCATTGTATGGTGATATCTGTTCTGCAGCCACTCATTGTGGGTCATTTTAATAGGTGGAATGCCATCCTTACCTAGCTCAGAACGAGCTGATTGCTCACTGCCAGAAGCGAGGACTGGTGGTCACTGCCTACAGTCCCCTTGGCTCTCCGGATCGCATGTGGAAACACCCGGATGAGCCTGTGCTGCTAGAGGAACCTGGGGTCAAAAAAATTGCTGAAAAATACAGCAAGTCACCTGCACAGATCCTCCTCAGGTACAGAATAATTGTGAGAGAGGTGGTGTTTGGGACCCAGCCTTCCGTGAAGCAAAACATACAAGCTAGAAGGAATCCACTTAAAGTGTGTCAGGGAGGGGTTAAAATCACAGGGAGTGTCAAAAGCAAACGCCACTTGGTGCTTGTTTTACAAACTGGTAGAGTTGGTCCTGCCTTAGGACAGGTAGGCTAGATCAGAAGGGTCCATTCAGGGCCTGGATCCACGTCTGAGATAGTTCACATGGACTGTTGCCATGTTGGGACAGTATCTTTTCTGCTGGGAAATAGCAATAGGACAATTAAGGCAGCAGTTTATCACATCTGAGTGCTGCCCACTGAATTTGCATCTGGCTGGTTCCCTGAAGCCTCCAGTGCTTGCTGCTGCATTCAGGTGGGCTCTCAGGAAGAGGGGCTGAGGAAAATACTTGCCTCCTTTGCACTGAAGAACTGTTTGCTGTTTTGTTTTTATATAGCCAGGTACTGGATATTAGAAAACAAGGTGACGGAGTGATACCCAGAATGTGATCAGCACCTTGTAAACTAAAATTGGATTTCTATCCTCATTTTTCTTGACTGGTTTTGTATCCATCAGTGTCACTACCACAGTCTTGGGCAGTAGCATGTTACCCAGAGAGCTGAATGTGTTCAAGATTTTGTGCTCAAGCCACTAGACAGGCACTTCAGGGATCTGGGTTTTCATTTAGTTTCTGAGTGGTTGTCAGATTAGAACTTGGTTGAAATGCCTAAGTATGTTTTTCTGACCATTTCTTGGATTTTTGGCATAAAACAGTTGAAACCTGGGTGCTTGTTCTAAGGCATTAACATTTTCCCCTCTCTGATTCAGTTGTTACTGTTTTGCTTGAGCTTGGATATACCAGGTCCTAATACAATACAGGGCTGTGTCACTCCTGTGGAGATTTTTATTTCACAGAAGTGGCATCTCTGCTGCCAGAGATTATTACTCAACCAAAATAAATACTTATTGTCCCTGGATTGCATGCACAGACAAATCTCTCACCTCCTCTTGCAGATGGCAAGTGCAGCGTAAAGTGGTTGTCATTCCCAAGAGTGTCACTCCTGCTCGCATTCAGCAGAATCTGCAGGTAAGCTGAAATGGAGGAGAGGAGTTTCAGAAATGCACTTTTCATGTGAGTAATTGCTATGCTGTCCTACAACTTGCAGAGCAGCAAGCTGAGGCACTTGGTTCATACTTGTTCATCGATGTATGCACACGCTGGGGAGGGAGGGTAAAGATGGTTTTGAAAACAAAGGATGTGTTTTAAGCAACTCGGTGTGTGTGTGCAATGTGCACATGCACAGTCTTGTTATCATGAGGTAAAGAATGTACTTTGTAGAGGTCTAAATGAAAAATCTGTACTTAAGTTTTTTTGAGACACAAATTTATTGAAATAGGGAATCTTTTAACTATGCTCAGTGACTCTTACTTATGAGTAATAGTTGCTCTATCCTGCAAGTGAGGGCTGGTGACTACTTCTCCAGCAAACTGCCATTCTGGTGATGCTGAAGGAGTAGGTGTGGTTCCCTTCTGCTCTGAAGTAGACTTCAGAAATTATATGAAAACCCTAACTTTAAATAATCTTGAGGGATGTTTCTGAATCGCCTCCTTGGATCTTTTTTCATAAAGATTGGCTGGTTACATACTTTTTTTTTAAAGTAAGTTGTTCATGTAACTGTTACTCCCATTAATCCAAAATCTGTCATGTAGTGTGCTACTAGAAATCTCAACAAATTCCAATAAATTCTGCAGTTGCTTGAGGTTTAGATCTGCATGGAAACAGAATATTTATTGAATAGGCAGCACTTACTGTGAGAAACAGTCCCACTGCTTTCTACCTTAGTGGCAGAGCACTGTGCAGTACCAGGGTAAGCTTAGAGCTGGAAGCTGTGTGAACAGCTCAGACTTTAACCCTTTGCTTTGGTGATTGTTGTGAGTTTCATTGCAATTTCATATTTATTAGTATAAAACAAACTGATGGCAACCTGTGGTTATTGAGTAAAGCCTCTGGTTTTTGTTCTCAGGTGTTTGACTTCAGCCTCACAGAAGAGGAGATGAGCCACATTGGAAGCCTGAACAAAAACTGGCGTTACATTGTGCCAATGATTACGGTAAATTTCTTGTTTTTCTAATAGTTTTCATTATGTGCATATGGCCACCACTTGGGGTTTTTACAGTTTTATTTCTTTAGTTCCCATCAGAACTATTTACTCATAAGAACACTGCATCTTCTTAGGGTATTTAAGATGAAATAATTTTTCAAAAGCTGGGTACAGAAAAGGCAGCTTGTTGAAAATTTTGTCCTCTTGTTTTGGACATTGGCTCTCTCTTGAGTTCTCATTACTGACTCCCATGGGTCTTTAAGTCAGAGTCCCATCTTCAAATCTCACCAAACTCCTGCTGATTTGTTCTTCTCAAGTCCAAGCAGACTAAACTCCATGGCATTCCTATAGAAGTACTCCTTGTGCCAGCTGTCACTTTGTACCATAAACCTCTAAGATCAGACTCAGGGTGCTGCTGCTTCTCCACATCCATGGTAGAAGTCACATCAGGGAATTTGTCCCCTCCCCTCTGCTGCATGTCCCCCTTTTCAGAATCTGTTGTAATGACTTTCTCCAGTGTAAGGAGTTTGGATTAAGCTGTTCTATTTTTCTTCCCAAATCCATTAGCTGCAGCATCTTTTAGCATCAAACCTTTACTTCGTGTGCTGGCAGATGCCAGTTTGTTTTTAGAGAAGCCTCTGCCTTGTAAGCATTGAAATCCTCTTGGTCTTTCCTTTATTCAGCATCAGACCCTTACCTCATGTGCTGGCAGATGCCAGTTTGTTTTTAGAGAAGCCTCTGCCTTGTAAGCATTGAAATCCTCTTGGTCTTTCCTTTATTGCATTAAAGGACCTAAACTTGTTCCTTTTCCCTCATTGCAAAATTTCAAGTCAGTGCCTTATCTCCTGACCTTATAGTGTTTCTCATTTCTTCTTGTCCTGCTTCTGACTTTACAACAGAAAGCTGTTGCCATTCCCTGATGCATCACTGGCCAGGATATGGCAACTTTAACAAGTTGCTGTGATGAAACTGAAGTGATTTATCCCTTCTCTGCCATGTACAGATACAGGAAATCTCAGCAAATTTGGGAGCTGTGAGGCATAGCCTGGCCTCTTCAGTGCTTTGCCTGTAAATTATCCTTCAGTAGTGGCTGCTGGCTGTAGGAATTCCTTGGTGAAAGCTTTTCTCCAGGATTTATCATTGTGGGTTTTTCAAATACTTGAGAGTGTATCAGTGACCAGCCCACGTTAGAGAAGGAGCTGTGAATGTGTGGGAATGATTGTCTCATATCAAGGGTAGATATGTGTTACAGCCTTCACTGTTTGTCATGCTTACATGAGCCTCAAGGCCATCCTTTTAACTGTACGTGTGCATAAATATAAACCCTCACATCCCTGCAGCCAAAATTGTCTCAGTGTTTATGGATCAGGAGCCTGTACACCAAACAAGCAGCTTAGCTGCTGATCTGTGTGAACGGGGTAGTGACAAGCACACCTGCTGCTGACAATGTGTTTCTTTCAAGTGTTTTGCTACTCATGCTGCAAACAAAGTTGTTTTGTTAATGAAACTGCAAAATACATTTCAATGTAGCTGGGCTTGAATGATCCAGGGATAATTCATGTGCTTTTGTTACCTGGGAGACCTGATCAGATCACAGGGATTCACAAAGGAGAGATAAAATACAGTTCAAAGTGGCAGCCCATCCAGCTTGAGAAAGGGTGCATGTGATGCAGCTGGGCTTCAAAGATATTGCCATATTGTCAGATAACAAGACAGGAAGAAGCCAGATGAGTGGAGTTAAATCACAGCTCTGTAGCTCTAAGATTTCTAATGGAACCTTTTGTCTCCTGCCCATCCCTTCTGGGCTTATTGGAAACAATTTTCATCAACTGTGAATTAAAATTCCTGTCTAACCTTTCATGCCTATCTCCATTATGAATCTTAGTGTCTGGATTTCAAAGAGTGATATGACAGTGACAAGAGAGCTCCTATTGTAATTGATGAGACAGCTCTTCTTGGCCTTATTTCATTGATCTATAGCAAGTTCTTAAAATTGTGCCACTCTTCCTCATTGTGTATGTTTAAAGTCTGAGGGGAGGATATTACATTGCATGTAGACAATTAAAGTTGCTTTATACTTTTAACTGTTCATTATCTGGATGGAGTTTGGAAGTTACCTTGCACCAATCTGAAATCCAAACTTTTGGAAACATATAATTGGCCAAGGAATATACTCAAGTGAAATGTAAATGACTGTCAAGCCAGGAGAGGAGGAATGTAGTGAGCACATCATGATCTCTTTTTAAAAGTTAGCTACTGTTGACCTGCAGGTGTGTTCACTGCTGATTTTGTCCCCCCCTTCTCTGACATTCCTGGAGTAGACTGGAATCAGTGATGTGAAACATTGCCTCTGGCAGCTGCTGTCTTGGCCTGCTGTGAACAAGAATTCTTGCCTGTCCTGTGTGGACAAATATGCAGGGGGACAGAACTGGAGGGGAGAGTGCAGAATATGAATTCTAGGAACATGAGGAAGCTGTTGGCTTTCAAGAGAACTTGAGGAAACCTGAAGCTACTGTGATACTTCTGTCCTGTTGTAAGGATTGCCGTCAGCTCACAGCCCCATTGCAGCTCTGGTTTAATCGGAGCGTTAGTCAAAGGTTACACCGTAAAGTCTTCGTTCTGTGCTCTGCAGTGCCCCCAGGTGACTCCTTTCATTTCAACAGCTCCTTGCAGGAATTCCAGTCGCTTTGAAATGCAGGTTTTATATTCAAAGCTAATGGGACACTTGCTAGTGGATACTTGGTTTGGAAGTCCCTGTGATTTCCTCTGTGCCCATAACATTCTGAGTGATAACTATCATCACGTTTCTATGTATAAAAATCAAGGATTTCTCTAATATAACTTTTATTGAGGCATTAGTTGTTTAACTTAAGTTTTGGCTGGATGGTGCTCGCCTGACACGTGGGGAGTCAGGGTGCGTGCTCTGGGCCAGTGCTGCACCCAGACTTGCCCAAAAGTTACAGATGAGGTTTTACCTCAGCCACACAGAAGTTGGGGTGTTGCAATGGACTTGGTGCAACAGAAATGCAAGTTGTCCATCTGAAGGCTTTGAGGTGGGATGTAGGAACTGAGACTTCTGCATGGCCATGTCTGGTTTGGGGCCAGCCCAAGCCTCTGGTTTTGTTTAACTTAAGTTTTGGCTGGATGGTGCTTGCCTGACACGTGGGGAGGTGCGTGCTCTGGGCCAGTGCTGCACCAAGACTTGCCCAAAAGTTACAGATGAGCTTTTACCTCAGCCACACAGAAGTTGGGGTGTTGCAATGGACTTGGTGCAACAGAAATGCAAGTTGTCCATCTGAAGGCTTTGAGGTGGGATGTAGGAACTGAGACTTCTGCATGGCCATGTCTGGTTTGGGGCCAGCCCAATCAGTGAAAACCAGCCCAATATTGGTTTCAGTGCTCCCATTTCACAGCTGGACAAGTTGGCCTTCTGTGGGAATGTTCCTAAAAGGAGTTCAGTGACACTATCAGTGCCCCAGTACGTGACCCTGAGCAAGCCTCTCAATGTGTGTCATCTTATCCATCTCTAACATTGGCAGCCCAGCAGTTCTCTAGGATGGAAATGTGGACAAAGGCTCCAACTCCAATAAAGTGTTTGAAGTGTGCATGTTACAGCACTTAGTAACACCTACAAGGCACAAGGCTTGTAACTATCCTCACTCTAATTCTTCAGGTCTCTGCAGCTTGAGATGCTCTAGGCTACAGAAGTCTGTCTTTTCTTTCAAGAAAGGCTTAAGAGGACCTGGGAGTAGAGGGAGGAGCTCTTGTTTAAGCTGAAAAATGTACTCCGAGACTTTTGGGATACAAAGTTTTAGAAATCTAAATCATGTTTCACTTGATACTGCGAGTAAGAGTGGATTTTATCTTTCTGACTTGAGTCTGTCTGGTTCATTTCACAGGTGGATGGAAAGCTGGTAGCCAGAGATGCTGGACACCCGCACTACCCCTTCAATGACCCCTATTAACTGCAGGAAAATAAGGTGTTACAGTAATGCTCCAGTAATTGCCTTCACACAAAGTAATTGTTGCCACGATTTTCATACAATGTACTACTTCTAATCGACCTCCTGCCTGGAGATCCCGTAGCTTCTGTTTCAAAGTTGGTGGATTTATTACAATGATTGCAAGCTGGCTGCTGGAGGCATCAGATCTTTTGGAGATTACATAAAGAGTGAGGAGTCTAAGTCAAGTTCCAGACACATCGTTATCAGACAAGGGCATTACTTTGAGTAATTACTTTGGTTACTGCTGTGAAACGGTTTTGAAAACTTCAGTTGCTACCGTGATGAGGGGAAAAAAAGAAGGGTGAAAGTGTGAAAGTTTTTTAAGGCTAAAGAATTGCTCAGCCATCAACTTTGATCTCTTTTATTACCAATTTTTTACACAGGGAATAAAGTGAAAGGTGCTACAATTGCACTATGTCCATAAACCATCCATTAAAACCCAACTAATCAGCCGTGCCCAGTGCTTTTATCCACTTCATAGTACTTTTGGGACCTAGAGTTGTCAATTTTCTCTTTCTTTTAATTTGCCTGTAGATTTGAGCAGAATAAAGCAGACCCTGGAGCAGGCCTTCAGGGCAATCCCCTCTCTTGCTTGTCACAGTGCTGGGTTTCAGCTCTGACAGCAGCTCTGATCCTATCACAAAAGCCACAAGAACTTTGCAGCAAGTCTTGCAGAAAAACATCCTGCTTTTCCCATGAAGCTGTCCACTGTTTCTTTACCAAAGATGTCCATTTTGAGTTCTGGAAGGTCACAAAATTAGTTCCTAATTGTACAGTAAGACCAAAGACCTTTCAGAGCTCCCAACGTTTTAGTGGTTCATTTTTGGCTGTTGCCAGAAAATGTCTTTGGTTGATGCTTAGGAGGGCTGCTCCTGTCTCCTGCTGGTAACTCGGGGTGACTCATTTGCCTTTTGTGCCTGTTTTCCTGCTTGCCATGCCTGTGTTCCCCTGGCAGGGACTGATTTGCTGAGTGCTGATGCCCTTGGACTGGAACTCCAGCTCTAAGCACAGTTTTCTTTTGTGTCTCCTAATGAATTGGCTGAGCACAAAGGGCATGAGGTGTTGGTACCTACCTGTGGTGACACTTTCTGTGGCCTTAGAAACATCAACACTTTATTTTGGTCCTCTCTACCTGTTAAATAGGATTAATTTTTTTCCCCACGGTAATTAGAATTGCTATTGGATTGCTATTTTCCTGTAGCAAGCAATTAGAAAAATAGTCTTGTATATCAAGTAGTTCAAAAGTTAATGAATTAGACACTTTAATTTGGATACCCTCATTTGCAATAGGCCTTTAGCAGATCTATGAATTCATTTTGAGTGTAAAGCCTTCTCAGGTAATTCCTGCCCTGGGCCTCACAGTGTGCAGCTGAACTGCAAAAAAAAAAAGAGTGACACCAATTTATCACTCCTTGTAAACCGCAGGCAAAATTTCAGGAACTTCTGTTCCTTCGTAAAATGTTTCCTAATTCCTGATGAATTTGCCTCAGTGGAGGAAGCCATTGCACCTCATTTAAGATTCTTTACTAGACTGGACATTTTCTCCTAAGGAAAATTAAATTCTTGTTGGTTTCTTTAATTATTCCACTCAACATGGTGACTTTGAATACAGTTTTTGTTGCAATCCTGCCAAGGACAGTGGCTTTTCTTGCTTGTTTCACTTGCATGTTTTCTTGTTTAAATAAATTCTGTACTCATTGTATGACTTTGAGACTTTTTCCCTCCCTCTTATCAAGGCCCCAATTAACTTTCTCTAGTTATTTCTCGGAGCAAGAGTACCTAATTGGGCTGGGAGAATTCCTAAGAAAAGCACATTAATGCTGTAGCTCTGTGAACCCCACACTTCCCAGCTCTGTTCCTGCCGGGAGGGACATAGCGGGGCTGAAGCTGGAGAACTTTTACCTTGAAACAGCAGAGCCTGGAGGTCTCGGTGCTGGGCTGTGCTGTGACAGGGCAGCGGCCATGTCAGCCCTGCCTGCTCGTGTGTTCGTGTCGCAGGGCGGAGCCGAGCACCTGCGTTAGCCGGGCTTGTTCAGCCCGGGGTTGTTCAGAGCCGGGGCCGGGCTGCCAGAGCCCCCCGGGCCCTCAGGCTGGGGCTGAGGGCGTCCCGCAGCCGACATGAGGGAGCGGACTGCACCTCCCGGCATGCCCCGCGGGACCCCGCCTCACTCTCCGGCACTACACTTCCCAGCGCACCCCGCGCGGCGGCGCCCCCGGCGTCCCGCGGCGGGGCGGGCGCGCGGCCTGCCGGGAGCGGTAGTCCCCCCGCGGCGCGCGCGCGCCGCCAGGCGGGCCGGGGCGTGTCCTCGGGGGTATATAGCCAGCCGGAGGGGCAGGGGGCTGCACTCTGCCGCCGCCGCCCCTCTCTCCAGCAGCTTCTATGCAATCCTCGGCCATCGCCGCTCCCCCCTGCGTTGAGCCCGCGCCGGCCTCCCAGACTAGGTAGGGCCGCGCGGGCTGGCCCCGGTTACGGTGTGTGCGTGTCGGGGACGGGGGGCATCAGGGGAGGGGGGGGGCGCCTTCGGGCCGCAGGGTACCGGAGGGGATGGGGGGTGAGCGGGGCGGTGGGCCGGATTTCCTTAGGGGAGGGCGGGGGGTGCTGGTCGGGCTGGCGAAGCTGCGCCCCCTCCTCCCCCCCTTTCCTGCTCGCCGGCGGTGGTACCTGCGTCCCCGTCCCCCCCTCGCCGTCTGTGGTACCTGCCTCCGCCGTCCCCCCCCGCCGGCTGGGGCGCGGTGGTACGTGCCGCCGCCCCGCTCCTCCGGCGCCAGCTGGGCCCGCGCGGCTCGCGCGGAGCCACCACGTGACCGCTGCGCGGCCGCCGCCATCTTTGTTGGGGGCAGCCGACGCCGCGGGGCGGGCGGGGTCACGTGACCGGCGGCCCGTGAGGAGCCGCCGCCGGGGTTTGGCGCCAAGGGCGGGGGGCGGGGCCGGCGGAAGGCGGGAAAGGCCCCATTGTCTGCCCCGCACGGCCCCGCACACACCGCCCCGCGGGAGCCGCCCCCGGCGTGCATGGGCACCGCTGACCCGGCCTGCCGCTGCTGCTTTCCCCCCCGCCAAGAGCTCAGTGAAGTGGGTGGCCGGTTCGAAACGTGAATAAAAAACCATTCGGTTTTCCGTTTGCAGGATGGAAGAGGAACTGGCAGCTCCTTCCACATCCACAGACAAGACAGACAGGTGAGATGGGAGTTGGCACTGTCAGTAATCAAATAACACTAAATCCCGGAGCTGCTGTGTGAAAGGCAGAGGTCACCCTTCAGAACACCCTTTAAATCCCACGTGTGATGTAGGTGCTGAAAACCTGTGCTCACCAGTGCTTTGCACAAATCCAGTGCATCAAGGCCTTTTCAGGGACTGATACATATAAAAATGTATCAAGCTGTTCTTGAAGTTTTTGGGCTTTTAATTTGTGCTGGAGAGGTACAAGTATGCAGCTGGCGTGTGATACATGGTATTCCTCTGTGGGTGGCTCCTCTTGTCCCAGTCGGAGATGTTGGGCTGGACCTTCTGGAAATGAAGCTGTGCAAGATGCACTGAATTGAACTGACACTTGCATCTGTCATTCTCAGATGCACCATGCTGTGCTGTGAAAAGTTTTAACTTTTCTTTTTCTTGATTTAGCATTAGAGTCTGGAGCACTGGTGCTCCATGGTGTGTTAGTGTGCAATTCCTGAAGTATATTTTTTAGCAGCTTTTGTCACAGCAGAATGTGATACTTGTTGCAGTGATTGGATAAATTTGCCTGTCTTCCCTTGGTTATTGGAATTATCAGTTGTTTCAGATTTGCACCCACAAAACCAAACAAATCCCACCTACTCTGGTAGTTCCAACCACTGTAATGCATGCAACTCACTATTCCATAAAGCAGACTAGGTTTTGAAAGCTAAAATTACTGTGAAAACTAACAGAATCCTTTATTTGATTTATTTACCCTTCCTCTAGTATGGATGTGGATGGAGAATCAAAGAAACTCTTGGGTTTGGGACAGAAGCACTTGGTAATGGGAAATATTCCAGCTGCTGTGAATGCATTCCAGGAGGCTGCAAGCTTACTGTGAGTAGTAGAAAGTTCTGTGTGGTTTTGCTGGGCTTGGGCTTCAGCTTAGCTGTTCTGGTGTGGATTATGCAAGAAAGATTGGGATTTTTACCTAGCATGTTTATAATTTATAATGCAGCTGTGGAGGGGACAAGCTATTTAAATTCACCCAAGAGTTGTACAATGCTGTAGTTGGTGTGCAGTTTGGGTGATAGGCATTGCCAGCAGAGTTCCCTAAGGAGGGAAGGGGTTTTGATAGTTTATTATGCAGGTATCTTCTCTAGTAACTTGTTCACTAGTCTTGATCAGTCTCTCTGAATGGTACTTTTTGGGTTACAGATTAATTTCCTCAGTTGGGTGTTTGAAAGCCATATGTAACTGAGAGAAGCATTCAGTATTTGTTTAAAGCAATGGGAAGTGAGCCAAGAAAGTGGTGCTTTTGTTAGGCTAGGAATATTTAATGTTCAAGTTCACATATCCAAATCTAAAGCAGGCACAGGCAAATATTTCTTTATTATTTTTGTAGGGGTAAAAAGTACGGTGAGACAGCGGATGAGTGTGCAGAAGCTTTTTTTTATTATGGAAAATCTCTCCTGGAGTTGGCAAGGTATGGTGGCAGTTTGTCATTTGGTGAAGAGTGTGTCTGGGGTAACAGCATTTCACTCCTTTGTGGGACAGGACTGCCCTGGGTGGGATGGGCTGTGGCACTGCAGCTTGTGCAGTTCAAATAATGGTATTAAATATCCGAGGGATAACAAACTCCTGTTCCTTTTAGAATGGAAAATGGTGTGCTGGGAAATGCCTTAGAAGGGGTGCAGGTGGAAGAGGAAGGAGAAAAAGCAGAAGACGACTCTGCACTGCCAGCTGCTGATGGTATGTAAAGCTGCCTGCCCTGCCATGGAGGCTCCAGGCTGTGTTTTCTTGTTGGAATGATCCAAGTTTAGTCCACTGGTATCTTGGGTAGCCTGAATCATTCTATTGAAACTCTTGGCAGTCTGAATGGACTCTGTTTCTGTTTGGGTTTTATTTTTAGTCTTGCTTAAAGATGAGCAAAATCTGTAAAACATCTGCAAGGAGCTGGTCCCTGAAAGCATGTGTAAGGGTCAGCAGGCGTCTGTGTCCTGAACCCTGCATTCAAACTCGCTTTCTTGAGCTTCACCGCTGATTCCCACTGCTTTGTAACCTTGTAGCAGTACAGTGTGTGCAGTCCCAGAGGTCAGTCTCTGTGCAAAGCCCCAAGAACAGTGGCTGTTTTATGCTGCCTGCAGCTGGAGGGGGTTCAGGGATTCCTGTCCCTCCAGACTGTTAAAGCTCTGGCACCTCTCGCTATGCTGTGACTAAAATTGCTGCACAACCGCGCACTGCTTGAGCGGCCGCTTGCAATGCTGCAGTCTGGGGAAGGGGAAGGGACTTGGCTCAAGCAGCTATGTTGGTTGTCTCCTAATTCCTTGTACTTGGAAAATGAAGCTTTTAGGAGTGTCATCCAACTTGGTAACAAACCAACACACAGGAGGGTCTTTGAGGGTGGTGTTGTCAGGGCTCGTTAATGTCTTTATCACTAAACTCGAAGAAATGTTTATGCTTCCTCAATCATGTAGAAGAAGCAAGGGAGGAGTTGAGAGAACAGGTTTATAACGCCATGGGGGAAAAGGAAGAGGCCAAAAAGTCCACGGAAGAGTCTACAGTACTCTCTGAGAAGGAAATCAAAGAAGAGGATGTTGAAATGAAAGAGATTAAAGAAGAACCCAAAGAAGAAGCTGTTGACAAGGATGCAAAGAAGCCTGAAGAGGCTGAGGAGAAGACTGAGATTTCTGTGGGAGAAGAAACTTCAGAAGAGCAGAAGAAGCAGGTGCCTGTGAATGAGGAGGCAGCTGTGGAAGAGAAGGAGGTAGAAAAAGAGCAGAAGATGGTGCCTGAGGACAAGGTAGAGAAGGCAGCTGAGGAGGAGAGAACAACAGAAGAGTCAGACAAGGAGGGAAAGACATCTGGGGAAGAGGCTGAAGCAGAAGTGGCTGTGGAAGAGAAGGCAGAGACTGGAGAACAGGCAGCAGAAGCAACAGAAAAAGAGCCAGCTGTGGAGAAGGGAGAGGCTGTGGAAGGGCAGGCTGAGGCAGCTGTGGAAGAGAAGGCAGAAGCACAGGCAGCAGCTGCTGTGGAACAGAAAGAAGCTGCAGAAGGGGATGCAGAGGTGGCTGAACAGAAGAAGGCAGAAGAGAAACATGAGCCAGTAGAGACAGTTACAGAAGAGAAACCAGGTGAATCTAAAGAGACAGAGTCCTCAAAGGAACCTGTGCCCACAGAGGGCAAAGAGCCACCTAATGACATGAAAGAAAAGGCTGAAGTTGCTGCTAAGGTAGAGAAAGAGGAAAAGAAAGGTGACCTGATGGAAGAGGGTGAAGGTGCTAAGGTAGAAAAAGAAGAGAAAGATGACCTGATGGAAGAGGGAGAAGGTAACCCTGAGAGGCAAAAAATACTTGTGGGTGGATGACTTGATGGATTTGGCTAACAATGGGTAAAAAGTGTTCCATTCAGAATTTTCTGTTTGCCTTAGAATAAGGAAAAGGCACAGTAAAGGGCTCTTGAAGGACTTTACATACAAGTAAAGTTTCAAGGAATAGTGAATGGTCTCAGTTTCTCTAGACTAACGCTTAACTAACTGCAAAGCAAGTCTTACTTGAAAGCAAACTGACAGCCCTGTGAAATGTGTAAGTAATGGCTAGGCTGGTGGAGAATACTGAATGGATGTTCACTTGCATGCATCTGGGTGTATTGCACTAACCTTCACATAACTGCAAAGCACAAATTGCCTCTAGTTATAGCTGTGTTTTATTTTACAATGGGGGTGAAAAACCCAGAACAGCTGAACACATAAATTTACTTCTCTTGGAGGAGAGGAACTCTTCAATTGAGTCTTTCTGATGGTCATTGCTAGCAAAAACTTAGTTGGAAAATCTGAACTCGTTTTGCTGAAGGCTTATTGCTGCTCTAGTACAGTCTTCTGGCTGTCCAGCTTCTGCCCTTCTGCTTCCCTGCTTTATTGTAGCTGTTTCCTGGGCTCTGTTGAGGTAAGACT